GGCATGTGCTGAGCAAGCTCTTTATCTTCTTAGAAAATCTATCCTTCTAGGAGTTTGGGGAGGAGAAAGGGTGATTCTGCTATTTCCTAAACAGGCCCAACACCAACTATAAAGAAATGACAGATGTTGGTTTATTGTCTACAAATCTGCATGCCTGAGTTCTGATTAGGTGATAGGTGAGCTGGTGAAATGCTACTCTGAGACCAACTACCAAGTTTCAACACAATCTCTTTTTGCTTATGGAGTTTGTAAAATGCAGTTCTAAAAGCATCCTTCAAAGTATGTTATTGTGAGCAAGACAAAACTAAAAATCTGTCTACATTACATTTTTAAAGGTATCTTTAAAAGCAGGTGTTCAGGTAAGTGATAGGACCTTCTGAAATACCCACTTATATCTCCAACCATATAACTGCATGCCTACATATATATATATATATATATATTTGATATATTTTAAGTCTGGTTCTCGTTTCCTAGAAGAAACATACAAGGTAGGAAGACAGAAATGTTCATTTGTATAAAGTCTGTACTGTAACCAGGCTACGAGTGTATCAGTGAAATATTTATAATGCAAGCCTTAACTCAAGCTTTCTTGGCTCTGATGTAGTCTCAAATGCCATTTTCATGGACAGCTTCCCAAGCTGTAGAATTATAAATCCTGCATAGCCATGTTTCTAAATCAAAAGCATTACTTCCTTGAGAATAGAAGTGAATTGGACTAAGTAGTCAGCATTTTCCCTAAATAAATTGGCTACCTTGAGAATTTATTGGTTAAAGTTAAGCATCTGACACCAGAAGTGTTTGTGCCTGTTATACTGCTGTATCCTTTAGACTGAATGAAGAAAGGTGTGTGTTGTAGTGACTGTAGTTCAATGTTACAGGTAAGTGTTGTTAAGCATCTGGCACCAGAAGTGTTTGTGCCTGTTATATTGCTGTATCCCTTAGACTGAACGAAGAAAGGTGTGTGTTGTAGTCACTGTAGTTCAATGTTACAGGTAAGTGTGTCTCTTGTGAGGAGAAATTTTGTTCCTTCTTTTGACAGGCACAAGGTTCTTTTTTTTTGTTCTTGTAAGTGCTAATGTTGGGAACGTGCAAATATTAAACACTTTCATCTTTCCTGTTGATTTTTCTTGTTATTTCCATTCGTCTTAGTTTTGGATCTTAAAAACCACAGGAGCGAAGTCTAACTGAAGTGAGCCAACCCCTATCCTGCCTTTAGTAATGCATGAGCAAATTAAACTTTGATTCTTTTAGTGGGGGAGAAATGTGCAGTAGTACCATGGAGTTTGAACCGTGTTTCTTTTGCTGTCTCTTTCTTAATAAGATACTCATTATACAATTTAACAATTTGTTTAACAAAAGCAAATGGCTCTCATTTTCCACTGGGCATTGCCTCTGTGTGTGTTTGTAATGGGCAGTTAGTGTGGGATTATGCAAAGCCATCAATGGGATCTGAGCATCCATTTGCTATTAAAACTAATGCAATCTAATCCAGAATTCAGAATTAAAAGGAAATTGTCTTTCTCTGTTTTAATTAGAATAGCAAGCTTTTAAATTGCATTTGGAATTACAAAAGTCCTAGGTCAGGGGTTCAAATTGTTTGTTTTTCTCCATTTGAGTAACAGTCTGCAATTAAAACAGCACAATAGTTCAGGATCTCATTTCTTGGAGAGAGATGTGATGAGAGGCTGTGATGCCTCTTCTTTTTATTTGTTTGTTTTTACATCATTTCTGTCTCTACCTTTGAGACGTTTTGGGCCTAGCATTCACACCTTAGCAACTTTTGCTTTTATCAGCTTTTGGGGAGGCTTAGCTGAACTGTGAAACTTCCCATCTGTATGTGTTGACGTTCCTTCGTGTGGTCTCATGCTGCGCAGTGAAGGACCTGGTTATATTTGTTACGTCTAGAGGAAAAATCTCTTCAGAAAGTGATTATGAAAGATTGACTTAGAGAAGAGTTGAAGCTTGAATCATCTCCAGCTCTTTAGATTTATAGTAAGAGCTGAATACTAGAAGGGGGTATCCGGTGTCTTTGCAGTCTGGATAATAATGCCAACATGAGCCTGTAGACCTCTCCCCAAGAAGTCCTCAGCACCACAGCCCCAGCATCCCCAGGGAAGCATGGACACAAAGGAACTGCTCTGTTGGTGTTTGGCCTGAGTGCTAGGGGTGGTCACGCCACAAAGCAACGCGTAGAGGAGATTCGGTGACCTGGGAGAACACAGGTGGGAATTTCTGCCAGCTAAAGTGGACACGATGGGTGTTTCTGAAGTCCTAATGTTTCTGAAGTCCTAATGTTCCTCACGGTCTTGGGGAGCACTTCATTGTGTCAACGATTTAGAAAGTAGAAACCTTTCTGAGGCCTTAAAATGAGACAGTGGTAGCACAACTTACAAAGCCAGGTTCCTTAGTTCCGCTGACAGAAGAACTTGGTTCTTACTCCAGGAAGCTCTTTCCTCCTCGTGTCCCTCATAGTTCCCCCTCAGCTCCTGTGTCCCAGGACACACGTGCGCTCCCCACCGTAACCAGCTGCCCCCACAGCAGCTTCAGCTCCTGCCCTCGCTCTTGGGGCTTGCCCGACCGCAGCGTGCCCACGTTGGGCTCTCACCATATAGAAATGAGAGCTACAAGGGATCCTCATCCCCAGCCATCCTCTTCCTCAGCCCATGAGCTGCTGTAACCCGTAGGAACTTATCTCCAACATTTCCATTGGACTTGCGTCACACCAGCCTGTTCAGCCCAAGAATTTCACGGTGAGGAGGGCTGCCCAGTTGATCAGGCTGCTCAATTGCACAGCCCTTACTTATGTAGCAAACCAAGCATGCCAGGATTGTGCCATTATGGGAAGTTCTGTATTTACAGCAGTTCTTATGGGTTTACTTTTTATTTTCAAATACACATTTACTGCATTTGTGAGATTTCTGATCAGATCATGTCTTTGAACAAAAAGCTACACTGATCAGTGGGATAAATTTTTAACCACACTCAGGGTTAGAGTAGATGGAAAAGAAGAAAAGAAGAAGAAAATAAAGTGTGTTTTCAGTGTTTCTGCCTTTTTTTTTTACATGCTTTGAGAATGCTTCTGCTTTTTCAGTGGTTTCTTTGCTTGAGCATTTTGCAGAGAAGCGTGGAAGGGTGTGATGACAATTTGGTTAAGATGGGGAACTGTGATTGTGAAATAATTGGAAAGAAAAAGATTGCTTTCAATTTGACTGGTTTCTTAAAAATGAAGAAACTTATTTGTGACCCTAAAGCTGCTGCGCTTCCCAGGATTCGTGTGCAGTATCCATATAGAATTCCAAATTTGTTATACACAAAGAGATGGCAGTGTAGCAGTTAAGGGTATAGTTGGCTTAGTGTTATTATTCCACCTTCGTTATATGTACAATAACTTGCAGCATACATGCAATAACTTGCAACAGTAAAAATATGAAATGCCCACCCCATTTGGGATAGAAATAAATTTGAGCCGTTTGAGACTCACATTTAAGCAGTGTATTCTGATTCACTCTGGAATAGGATGATTTTCTTTTGTAGGATAGCTGCAGTTTGCATCTTAGAAAAAATACATACATACCAAAAGTTACTTAGTTTGCTATGGTAATAACAAAGGGATGGACACGCAAATAATCTTTTCCCGACGTGTTTTGGTTGAGGAGCTCTGTGCCTCCTGAAATGTGATGTTCAAAGGTGACAGTATTGTTATACCCACTTGAAAGATAGGGAAATGAGATGAGTGGCTAGATATTGTGAAAAGTGAAATTTTAAATGTGTATGTTGTTGTCTAAATGCTCACAGATTTTTTTTCTCATAATAACCATAAAAATGTTGGCAGCATATCAAAATTAATAATTCTTACTCTTTATATGTGCTATAGGCACTCCAGAATTCCCCAGACATATTTCTTGCCCGAGTTTATGACCAGATACAAATCAATGTCTACTTTTCTGCCAAAAATTGAACTTCAGTCATTTCACAGCAAATAATTCTGTCTACCTGGCAGAAGAGTGTGATATCCCTGATTTCTTCACTTTAATCTGGCATTAATGTATTTTTCCTTCAATTGCCTGCAAGGGAATCCTGTAATCTTGCAGTAGTGATTGGGCAAACCATGGAAAATACTGTAAATTAGCATAGGTTTTTTCCAGTAATCTAAATTGTGTAATATCCTTTGACATTAATTGGCACAAGCTTTTTATCTAGAGTTACATTGAATTTCTCTTTCAGTGTCTTTTCCACCTCTTCGTCCTCAAGCATTACGAATTCCACCAGATCCGTATTTTCCTTGTAATTGTACGTGGTCTCAGTGAGTGTCCACCCAATTAGCGCTCGGAAGCCCTCAGTGGTCTGGAGGGTGCAGATGGACTTCCTTGTGAACAGGGAGTCGGGAGACGTCTGAAGGTACGTGCACTGGAAACGGAAATCTTCCACCGTCCGTGGCTCAAGACTGAACATATAAACCTTCCGACACTCTTTTTTCTCTAAAAGGTCGGAACTAGAGAAATGTTGATCGGGGATATATTGTTTCCGTCGCACTTTTTCCAGGTACCAGATGGCGTTTTTTTCCGTGAAGCGAAAGACGCCAGGAGCCTGGGGCTGGTCTTTCCCAGACATGAGCTCCATCGGCTGCCACATCTGGTAGGACACACCAAAGCCTCCGTCAACAATATAGGCCTTGCCATCAATCACTACCTTTACGAGCAGGTGGGTCATGATGTTGGCATACGTGTTTTGGTGTGGATTGAATACATATGCTCCCAGAAAACTGGCATCATATCCCAGGCTCTTCAGGACCCAGCCCAAGAGCTGGTTGTTTTCCATGCACCAGCCGCCACGCTTCTTCCTCACAATTTTGTTATAAACGTGCTCCAGCTCCAAAGTAATTTTCTCCCCGCAGTGGATGCTGAGGTTTTCAAATGGAACAGCGCGGATGTGGTGCTGGAATATATCAGTTAAGGTTTCCAAATCTTGTTTTTCAAGGGAACCGTTATAACCAGTTCTCGCAAAATACTCTTCAAGGTTCATGTTTCCTGTAAAGGAAAGAAATGTTTTTTTGATTTTGTTTCTTTACATCAATGATTTATGATACTGGGAAGAACTGCCCAGGATATTGCCAGCAGAGACGCTTCAACTTACTGAACCTCATCAGAGCAGTTTTTAAAAGCAACAAATATTCATATCAAACAGTTCTAAGAGCAAAGAAGAGTAGTGCATGTGAGGGTTTGCTTTTTACCTTAGAGTCATCCCAATGGCAAACAGTTGATGCAACTGCCGCTTGATATGCAAGGTCTGTGTAACAGGGATTTGCTGTATTTGCATTGTAACTGCAGGCTTAGGAAGAAATATAAGATCTCACTAGGGAATGCTCAGAAGCTTTCATGAAAAAAAAGGCTAAATCCACTTTTCAATGAAAGGTGTAGCTGTGCAGGGAGCAGGGTTGTCTAGCAGCTGGAGGGAGAATAATTTGAGCCAGGATTCACATGTTCCTTTCATGAGTCTGCCACTGATCTATGTGATCATAAATGAATGGTTCATTCCCTACATGCCTCTGTTACTTCTCTTACAAAAAGTAGAAAATGGTACTCCCTGCACATTTTGTGATGTGTTAAGTTTTATTCAGATATTTACAACTGAAAGAGGAAAAACCACTGACCTTTGCAAAAGTCACCCACCGCTGAGGCCCTCGTCTGCTCTGAGTGTTGCCCTAACTCATTTTGGTGTTGCAATAATGATTCTGCATGAATCGTTACTCACGATTCATATAAGATGAGTAATCTAAAAGACAAAAAGAATGTCTCTATTTCAGGTGCTCTACAAGAGGGAAGGGGATGGTTTACCGCTCTCTGCTCTGGGTCTTTCATAAAACCTCATTTACTCCTGCCGGAGGAGGCTCTGAGAACAACCTTGTTCAGTGGCTTCATGCTCTTCCCCCCTGCTAGCAATGCCCATCTCTGCTGGGAACACAGCTCCTGGGCCAGATGGCTACCTGAGGAGCTACTCAACTTATTTTTCTGTCTCTCAATGTCAATGGAAATCTTGGCTTTCCCAGAAGTGTCTACGTTTCCCAGAGATCTATCAGGGTGTTGGCCATCCCTGCAGGCTGTATGATCCATAGGGCTCTGCATAGATCCTGTTGTAAATGTTTACTGTAGATTGCCCGGTAGGATAGGGAGCTTGATATGACGTGTTTTGAACACTTGGACCTTTGTGAAGACAGCAGTAACCATTTCAGCGGTGCAGAGTTACTGCAAATATTTAACTTCTTGACAATTCAGAAAGCTACTTGGAAATCTTTTGTGCATACAGCAAGCTAAGCTTCAGACGCTTGGTATTAGCAACTCGGGAAGTCGATTGTGTTCAAATAAATTCAGCACTGAAATGCTGAATGTTTCCTGCAAGCTAGGGTTTCTTGGGATGATTTTCAGTGATGGATTTGTGATGTGCATATTGTGCGTTCCAGAAGCAGCTGCCCAAAGTCAATGGAGAGCTCATCAAATATGGTATGTTATCTTCTACAAGACTATCGTGTTCAGTGTTATTTAGGTGTGTTGGTGGATATTCTAAGGTAATATTTGTTAGGAAGAAAATAAGCTTCCAGCATTCCACGGAATGCTTTTTTTTTTTTTTTTCCCAAAAAAATATTGGCCAAAATTAAAACATTTTGTCCATGGTGCCATCCAACTTTGAGGAGTTGCGTAAGACGGAATAAAATATCCTTCTCCCTCTCCTTTTTGGTTTGCAGGGTCTAATTCTATCCAAAGCTAAATGGCCATGTTCTGCATGGTAAAAAGTAAGGGCTGATCATACCAGCATAATGTAAGTTCTTGATTTTATATTACTTGTGGTTTCCCTCTACAGCTCCATAACATGATCAGCATTAGATCTTAACTGCTAGGAGATGAAAGCTACCGTTCTTTTGAATTGTGAACAGATCAGATGAAAAGCTAGATACTGAAAAGATAATTCCACAGATGCGACTATGATTTACACAGGGAAAGGCAGCATCAGCAGAACCTTCAAGGCCTGTTTCTAAATGTACAAATAAAGATGTTTGTTAATGCAAAAAATATTTACCGCTAGCACCTCCATACCATGACTGTACACACAATCAGCAATTCTATTAAAAATATATATATCTATTCTATCCTAACGCAGCTAGTACACAGGCTTTGTGGAGCAGGCAAAACACAGTCTACTAGCTTCATTTTTAAGTTGCTTTTGACTGTAAAGAAAGCAAAATGTACTGATTATTTTTTTTTCTCTTTGCTTCCTTTGCATTTGCAATACTTTTAAATAAAGTTAAAGATATATTTACAAAATACTTCCTAGAACAGGCTGTAGTTCCAAATTTACACGCGCCGGTAAATCTAAATAAATGCATCTCTCTGCTGGACAAGTGAATTGCCTTCTGAAGAGCAGGTAGACAGAAGAATTGAAATTGTATTGTTATTGTTTTGCCTTCTTTAAGAGCCCATATTTAGCAGTCGTTATTTTAGTTCTATCCCCCACT